TACATACAACTAAAGAATGTTCTATAACCTTGATGTCTTTTAAACATATTCATTAACTTCTGCAATGAAGCAGAATTGAATGACAAGGAATTTATCCATTAAACTCGCATGATAGGATTCATAAAAGACTTTTAACAAAAGACTGTAACCTTTTATTAAGTGAGTAATTAGTTATTAAAAATGGTGACATCGAAAATGTTATTCTTTTTATTCTTTCTTCAATATCAATATTCTAAATCTAAATTGTTGTCAGTTTGAATGATAATCAAATATGAAACTGTCTGAATTCTTCAGATGATTTCTTGACTTTTTATTCAAATGTACATGTACCGTATTTGCTCTATTAAAATAGCATCTCATCTCCAATAGAATCGCAAATAAAGTGTATGCTTGATCATTCAAATATTACCAATTTTTATCATCAAAGTACTTAATTTACGAAAGCGAATACATACTACACAGAAAAAGGATAAAAGGGTGGACACTTCACTTCCTAAAATATGGTGCCTTTTAAGGATTTGAATGATTGTGTGGCATATCAAAAAAACACCAAAGCGAAGTCATTGGGCGTCAAGGCAATTGCTTTCGACACCTTTTAAATTTCATCTCAATGAATGCATTTAAAAGGCTATCCCTCGCAACCCGGTCTTTGATGTGTGCATTTAATCTGAAAAACGATATCGACCTTTAAATTATCAATTCACGATATTTTATAGTGGTGAAATTTTCATGGTTTCTGTAAGGTGATGAACAGCAAATCAGACCCTTAATCATAGTAAAAGTGTTTGTATGGTATTTGCAACTGATCCATATTGTGTTCTATTTTGAGTAATTAGTCAATATTGTTGGTCTGTATAATTAGTATCTAGTTTCTATGATTATTGTAATAGTACATGTGTTGGTGGGTTTTAAAGTAGTTATCTGTGTGTTCAGTTGATTAAAGTTTACTGTGTATGCCAATACAGACTGATTGCTTTGTATACAATGTGTGCGATAGATGGGACAATGACATCAATTATATTACCAGTTGTATGCAGTCTGAGTGATTCTACACTGTTAGTACTATACGCTTTATTATTGAAATTACTTAATTTAACCATGTCTGACTTTTCTACATATGGTAGTCCATTCTGTGTTGGCTTCACTAGATGGGATTTTAACTATGAACTGCAAGAGTTGATTGTTAGTGCCAGGGAGTATGTTGACATTGTGTGAAGTGAAAATCAATGTCCATGAGTTTTTTCCTGGGGGGAAGAAATTAAAATGTTATACAATCGCTAGAAGGACAATTAATATAGGCCTAAACAGTAGTGTGACAGGTCAGCTCCCTCCTTCATGTCATTGCCATGAGATAAATTTGAAAAAAAAAAAAAAACTATTTTGGTTCAAAGAATTCATTATATTAAGATATTATCAATTAAATAGTTCCCATATTAAGCAAAACTAGTCTGAAATCTACAAAGCACTCAAGGAATTAGTCTGAAGCTTGTTTATTTTTATTTTTAGAATTCTGTTTGTGCATGGTGTCTGTCAGAAGTCGTTGGCCTTTTAGTGGAGAATGGCAAATTTACTCTATAAATGATGCTATGTTATTTAAACATGGTCTGCAATGTCCATTAATCAATTTTATCACAGGTGAATATATACCGGTAATCTTTTGACTTGTATGGAAGGGAATGTACAGACACTGGCCAGTTTATAAAGTTAATGATTTAATACTGATATGCACTGGCACTGTGTTTCACCTTTTCACCTTTTCATTTCAAGTATCTTACTTTGGGTTAAAGTTGTATTGTAGGCGAAAATTAGTTAAAAGTAACTTGTCAAAAAATCATGTTTGTAGTTATAGTTGTTATTATATAGTTATAGTTATTTATTGTCGTCACTACAATAAATTCCGTCATGCATTGCTGAATTCTACTTTTAATAGCTCCTTTAGCTTTCATATATTTAACAAAACTACCGTAACCTTGCGTTTATGTAAATGTCCAGTGGTAACATGAGTAAAATTATCATCCAGCAAATTAAAATTGATAAGATTCTGGTGTGTATCTCAGACTAATCTTTCTGGAAAATTCTTCACATCAAATATTGATTTTGAATATACTAATCTTCACCATGACCCCAAAAGATGCTGAAATTGAATCACATTGAACTGTTTGGTAATTGGCGAGTTGGATATCTTTCAAATCCCATAGCTGTTTCATTTATTAAATTACACATTACTTAACATGTCAAAGATTTAAAACATCTTTCAATGTTCCTGTCATTAGACAGTGCTTTGGAGGTTTTGTTTGTTCATTTTGTGTGGTGAATGAGTGACATTTTAAATGTCTTGCACAATTTTATGTAACTATGACTACGGACTGTGAAATCTATCAAGCTTGAGTAAACTGACAGTACCGGTAATTTTCCTAGATTCTCAGAGCATTTAACTGAATTTCCCAGGGGTTCTGCAGATCAACATCATATCTAATAATTATATATTTCACTTTGAAAAATGATTTCGTTATCTGTCTGAAATTAACTATAAATAAATCATGTTGGATATTGTACTAAGCAGGTTTAGCAAGTAATAAAAATGCTACCTGATGGTATTATTATTATTCAAATCTTTTGAACTAATAAACAGAGGATATCCAGTGATCTTCCATGTAATATTGTATTTATTTTATAAAATGAGTGAAGACATTTTTTGTGATGTCCGAATTTCAAATTGGCATGCAAGGACCAATCAGATTTGTCGCCTGGGGTTGTAATATGAACAAATATTACATGGCTTTATCATTATGTTCCTGCTACTGCATGATGCATGTGACAGTATAAATTATTATTATATTATAGACTTTGCAAACCTCATAACAAAATTTGAAATTGTATTCCCATATCTGTAATATATTGCAGTCATATATTGCTCATAAATCAGTGGTGATAAGTGTATATTACTTAGTTCACTGTTATTTTGCTTGCGGGTATGAGATGGTGAAAAATAATGTATATGTGGCTCTCAAAATTATGATTATATAGATAATTTTTTTCTTGTTACTTAGATGATGTCGTGAGGCCTGAAAGATAAATTGGGTGTTTTTATCCTGAACATGTATTGAAACTTGTTTAACATTATTGCCACCCTGGTTAATATTTTCCACAACTCTTTAGCTGTTGACAAATAAATAATTCAGTGAAAAATGAGAAGAAATTTTGCTTGGTAATGAATAATTGAATAACCAACTTTATACTTTTCACATATATTGACATTTGTTGAAAATTTTATTTTGTGTCTTTATCACAAATGAGATCATTTCTTGGAATAAATTGAAGGTCCTTCTGTAATGTAAGAGGTCTGGGAAGCAGAATTTGGGGTTGAAATGAACACTAATTACAGAATTATATTATTTAAAATCAAAAGAAAGTTTTGTTTCCTTGCCACTTAGATTTTTAATTTTCTCATACTGCAATGGAGCAATTAGTGTAGGATTGAATTGTTCTGTGGGGTTGTTTCTGTAATGTATCTCCTGGAGACAGTCTGATTTGATTTAACATAATACATCATACTGTGAGTGATGGGGAATAACTCGCCTGTTACGCTGACACAAATTGTTCATCTCGCTGTGATTAGATTTACGCACGAACCCACGAATTTCCTTGTGTTTGCGGTCTTCAATGTGTTGACACTTGCGCTCCAAGCCATACTTGAACTTCTAGTATTTAAATATTACCACACTGACAAATTGAAAAAACAAAATTTAACTTTTCCATACTTTATTAGTCCCCGTTCGGACGCAGTCCGAAAACGGGGACTTGTGTTTTGCCCTGTGTGCGTCCGTGCGTTCGTGCGTCCGTGATCACCTGTATCTCGAACATGCATGGACCGATTAAGTTCAAACTTCACTCATACATCACACATTATATGGGACATATGCACATGCATTTTTTTCATGATCCGATTAACGATAGCCGAATAGCGGCCATTTTAAGGCCGAAAATGCATCAAAATTGCACATTTTCACCATTCTGGACCCGGATCTCAGTTATGCATGGACGGATTTGTTCAAATTGGTACATACATTAAACATAATAGGACCTTGATGCACGTCATTTTTTTTTTTTGGATCGGGTTCGAAATGGCCGACTGGCAGCCATTTTGTTTTAAAGAATTCAGTTCTGGATCCGTATCTGAGACATGCTTGGATTGATCGAGTTCAAACTTCACACACACAAGGTACATCATGTCACAAATATGTATGTGCATTTGTTTCATGATCTCATTAACGATAGCCAAATGGCGGCCGCTTTAAGGCCGAAAATGCATTGAAATCGCACATTTTTCACCATTCCGGACCCGGATCTCAGTTATGCATGGACGGATTTTGTTCAAATTTGGTACATACATTAAACATAATAGGACCTTGATGCACGTCTTTTTTTTTTCGGATCAAGTTCGAAATGGCCGACTGGCGGCCATTTTGTTAAAGAATTCAGTTCTGGATCCGTATCCAAGACATGTCTGGATTGATCAAGTTCAAACTTCACACACACATGGTACATCATGTCACAAATAGATATGTGCATTTGTTTCATGATCTGCTTAACAATAGCGGAATGATGGCCATTTTAAGGCCGAAAATGCATCAAAATCACGTATTTTCACAATTCCCGAACCGGATCTCAGTCATGCATGGATGGATTTTGTTCAGATTTAGCACAATGTGTTGTACATATGCAGGTGCATTTCGGTCATGATCTGCTTTGAATGTATATGTCACTCAAATATGAACGGAACGGGGACGTGTCATTGACAATGACTTGTTCCTAATGCCATTGACAACCCAAGTATTGCAGTATTACTGAATTCCGTTCATATTCACCAAAGCTACCTGGAAACCCCAACTTTCATATTCACCAATTCATTCGCTGTTTCATCTCATCTGGTTATTATTTAGTTTACATTGTTACATCACAGCTTTCATTGATTTGTTGTCGTTGATATTCCTTTTTAGAACGAGGTAAACCCCGCCCTCCAAGCTGATCAACCCAGTATTCTTGTAAGTCTTGTACCCCCTCATTTCAAATTTAAGCTTTGTGTACATTTGTATAAATATTCAGCATGTCCATATCATTCTCCATATCTATCCTACCTGACAAATTTCTTATATTGGCAAAAATTTTACTTGATAATGTATAACGTTAACTCACGGCCGTTGCCAGTGGCAAACTAGCCATGTGCACAATGAGGTGTTAATATTTAGTTAAGTTGTTAAACTAGAATGCTTTGTTTCAGTTGGAATATATTTTCACTTTTTGATATTTAGCAAAAAATGCTTTTTCTTGAATTATGACAAATCAGTATGTTAAACCAAATCAGGGTTTTCAGTGAAAATAATTCTGCCTAAAATAAAGTAGTTCTCAACAGATGTAGTGATATTTAAAATGAAAGTTAAAGGTGTGAAATGGTTGAACTTTTTTCTTTCTTTTTCCCCCCAGCATGCATTGTAATAATATAGTTCCTCAGTGTAATAATAATTGAATTGTTGATAGTAATACTGCTGAAAGAACTAAAGAAATATTGTTGCATATTAATATTTAATATTTTCATGGTTAAGATGCATGTTTGCATGAATTGATGAAAACTTAGATAAATTTATTACTAAAACCTTTTACTTCTTCCAGTGTAACAGTTTCGCAGATTAAAACTTCTAAGATTATATATTTTTGAAGAAAGTTAAGGAAGCTTTATGTATCAAAGCTCCTTTAGCTTTCATATGTTCATACATTTGGCTGGAAACTTGTAAGATTCCGCATTACCGTATTAGCTGAAAGTAGCTTACGTAAAAACAGAGATGTTTTTATGGGCAAATTAAATTATAAAAATTCAGTATACAATTTTAATGATTTAGTTGCCACAAAAATGGCAGGTTTGTCTATTGCAGATGAGCTTCTACTGGTGCAAATACTGTTCATTCCTATCAAATATTGTACATCAACAGTGACATTTTCATTTGAAAGTAATTTGCATATCAGCATTCTTGGTATACAAATTAGAAATCAAAATTTCAATATAAAATACTTTGTTTGTGAGAAAACTTAGGAATGTATATTTCTGTGTGCTCATGTTTTCTCATTTTTTGTTGTAGACGGATGGTAATGCCAGTTTCCTGCGAGCTGCACGAGCTGGTAATTTGGATAAAGTCTTGGAATATTTGAAGGGGAGTACTGATATTAACACCAGCAATGCTGTAAGTTTTTTGTTTTATTAAATTGTATTATATCTTCCAAGGATTTAAAAAGTCTGCAATTTTTTGAGCAGACAGCATAAATACTGTAAACTGCTTAATTTTTACCACTAGGATTGTTTGCAATGTTATGATTTTATGGCATTCCTGAAGACATAATTTTGCCCAAGTTACTGAAACTTTTTGTAGTAGGACCCCAAGAAAAATGTTCACTGCTAAAAGTAATTTTCACTGTCTTGTGAAATTCATGGAAATTATTCTCTCATGAAATTAAAGCAGATTACAGTATTTAATGTATGTGTATAATATTTAATGTCTTTACCCAGCTTAAGGTAGAAGCCTACTCATAAATTAAAAAACCCAGGATTCATTCATTTTGCAATAAATTGTACTCCAAGAATATTGGCCTAAAAAAGGTTCGGGGTCACCACCCTTTTTTTCGAGAAATTGATGGTTGAATTTTAGTGGAAAGTCGCCATTTTGGCACGATTATAACACCTTTACCACAGGTTCCTATGGCAGAGATATTATGCAAAATCTAGCCTGGTGACATAGGATGAAAAAATCATATTGTTGATGATGGTGTACTTTTTGTTCTGAATTATTTAAAAAATCTGGGTTTTAAAAAGTGTCAAAAAATGCACATTTCTCAAAAAGCTTAACTGTAACACACAACATAATGCTTTTTCATGGTACCATGGGACATTAGCTTCATGATTGTACATAATAAACTAATGAACATTGTCATGCGATTTATGACTAGGCTTCTACCTTAAGATTTAATGATACGCAACATGTTTTATATAAACATTCACATCATTGGTTGATTTGCTCCAATTAGAAAAAAGGGTTACTCCTCATATTGGGTGATGAGAAGCTCCTTTTTCATCATGTCATTTGGAGAGAGTGTTATGAATCCCTGGTTTTGCAAGCAGTCTGTATTTTCTAAACCCTTTACTCATTGGCTAACAAGCTCCAATTGGGAGACAGGTTTCATTTGTCTTCGCTGGAAAGGTCAGCCATATACATTTTTCTTGACGCTTGTTGGTTTTTATGAAGTGATGTACATGAGGGTTCATACAGTAAGATTTGCCATCATAAACAAACCGAATACCTGTAAGTATGACAAAAAAAACATTATTTTATTCTGATCTTTCTAAAATTGTAAGGGTACAACTCCCTTATGCTCGACAACCTTTTTAAACTTTATCTATTTTTGGTTGTCATACCAATATTGAGTGGTTAAATAATTTATGCACAACTGACTGATGATTATCTGATGTCTGTGTATCCATAATCCTAGTGGATTACCACCAGGCACCAGGTGAAAGAACCACCTCCAAGCTCAGAGGTTA